TCAAAAATTTCATTTTCATCTCCAAACTATGATCTTTATTTTAAATTGGTCCCCAGAGTTTCAGAATATTTCAATTTTATCCTAAATTATATGTATATACTAATCACATATCTTGTTAATAAATCATTAGGCCAAGTTGTATTATTATATTTTGAAAAATAAATAAAATTTAGGTTAAACAATTGTTGAAATGGATTACATATTTTGATGAATTTGGGGATGAAATTGGAAGATCTAAAAGTTTAGGGACCAATTTAGAATGAGATTCATAGTTTGGGAATGGAATTGGAATGTTCAAAATGAGAGTCATAGTTTGGTGATGAAATTATAATATTTAAAAGTTTAAAGAATAATTTAAAATAAGGATTAAAGTTTGGGAAAATATGATGCAATTAACTCACGCATACACACACAAATATATATACACACACAAATAAAGTTACATATTCAACTGGTGTATTTTTTAAAGTTGGTAATACATGTGGCAATGGATTATAGAATTAGTTTGAATCATTGACTTGATCTAACATAACTCGTATCCAATTTAGTTTGACTTGACATCATTTAACCTGAAATTTAAACGATCATCTGATTTCATATCTTTATTGGTAGCACGTGTGTCAATGGACTATAGAATTGGTTTGAACACAAGTCGACATTATATCTCATATTCAAATATGAAATCAGAAAGAGAATTTGATTAATTACAGGAAAGATTTACGCATTCAAACTGACTGGAAAACATCCAAAAAGTAGGAACTACATCTAAAATTCATGCATGTAAGGAATCTAAATGATACAAGTTCCTTTCGAATTTTATTCACATGTGAAACTAATTTCAGACACCCAATTGGATAGTTTCACATTGAAAGTGAAGAATCCAACTTGAGTTTAGTACAAATCTCAACATGTTTTTCGGATGCCATCAGTTTTGTCATAGTTTCTTGCACAACTCTTTCCAATAGATTATGGACATAATTTAAAGTTTCTAAATTTCATAGATAATATAAACCAATGGATTCGAACCTATGTCATATCCCAGAATCTGAGTTAATCAGATTATAAAAGAGGTAGTTGGCTCGAATTCTGAAATTTTTCGAATAAATATTTTAGTCAAAATGAATTTTTATAATTTTCATTTTAAAAATTAAATTAATAACACTAGAGATTTGAAGTTAAAATTTTATTTGAGAATTTTATAATTTATATTCTATTTATTTTAATCAAGCCAAATTTTGAAAAATTAATTTTAAATGAATTTATTGTAAATAGGCTTATTTTTATAACTAGTTCATGTTGTTTTCCCTCTTCCATTTTTTATTCTAATTTTTAGCCGCACGCTTAAAAATTTTTTTTTTTTTTGCTCTCAAAATTAAATAACCAGTTCATTTTTATCGACTTCCAAACACCAAATTTCTTCTAAATCTTTTAGCAAATCAACATGCTTCTTGGTCGACATCCTAAATAGGCTTTGAGATCAACGATATTGCAGCAATTCTCCAACGCTCGTAGGAAAAATGATTTGGACGTGCAGGGCGCATCACGGCATCCTCATTGTTTTCTGAGGGCTCTTTGCCCGCACATTCAAGTTATGCAGCTCAAATTTACTGACATTAACCAGAAATAACCACGTATGTGGGAAAGATATTAGGAAAAATGATTTGGAAATCCAGGGAGCATTTTGACAGATTATATTTCGATAGGATGTGTTACACAGTTATCTCAGAAATTATTCATGGGAATAAATGGCTCACGACAATCGTAGATGGTTTAACTTTTTTGATTTGGGAGGAGAGTGAACGGTCATCGACCGATGTCAATATTTTGCCTTTATTAGGAAGTAAGATAGATGGTTAGAGTAAGAGGGTTGCATCATTTCTCTCAGTTTTGTTCGAGGGATTTTATAGTGGTCTTAGTGTTAGATATAGGGTTATTATGGCTGCCTATAAGTTGGTAGACTAAGTGTAGACACTTGTTTTTGCCTGGGTTTTAATTATTTATTATTATTATTATTATTATTATTATTATTTTCATTATTGTTAAAAATTCGAGCACAACAGAGATTCAAGCCCACATACAACACCCAAACCCAATGGAGATCCAGGCCCAATGTAATGGTTCAGGCCCGTGCATGAGAACCCAAACTCGACTAGGGTTTCTCTTTCACCTTAATGCTCCTTGTCGCCACCATCAGCAGAAGATGAACCGTCAGTCGCGCACCTGACCGTTCATCTTCCTATCACGTCAGGTTATCGCCAATGAGCCCGAGTCGCCGTCGTTGTCAAACATGCCCAAAATAATGAAAAATTCAGTCAATCTTCACCAAATCAAAAACCCAATAAAAATCACCTAAACCCACCAAATATGGGATATTCACTAGGGAAATCATCCCCCTATACAGCGAGCTCATCATTTCACCCAAAATCATCCATAAAATTAGCATGCAATAATCAAAATGGGGACATTTTTAAGAGAGGAAACATTCAAACCAAAGGGGGGAGATTCAAATCGGAAAAAAAACCATTTTCCAACCAACAAAACACAAAAAAACTCACATTCGAATGCAAATATAATCGGCCGAAAAAGGAGAAATGAACAAATACCTCACATTTGCCTTAAAATCGAGACCACCTTGTTTCGTCAGAGACGAGGAAACCTATCCTGAAGGTAAAAAGGTTTTAGTTTTAGGTTGGGATTTAAGGATTCAAAGGTTTTGGGTTTTTCTTTAAATATTAAAAGGTTAGGAGAGGGAGAAAGGAGGTTTTGAGACCCTTTTCCACTCCCCGAGACCACCGATCTACGGTGGCTGGGGAGTCTTGACGGTTTTATCTTCCTCGGTGCGGAGAGGAGAACTTGAGAGAGTTTGGCTCTCTCCCAAAAAAACAAGAAAGACGAAATGAAGCAAATGAGAGGAGAATGGCCTGTTTGGACTTAGTTTTTCACCATATATACCACGTGTGAAACGACGTAATTTTGGGATGGGAAGAAGTGTATTTTGGTTTTTGGGTAAATCCCTTTCTGGACTTTCATACTTTGTAACTTTCCATTTTGGTCATTAACTGAAAAGCTCTTGCATGTTCTATTTCGAGTCTGAACTTTGTTATGCTTATGCTTTGGTCGCCATGCTTTTGTCATTTATTTTTGGATAAACACTTATTACGATTGCTAGTTCCTAGTTTAGTGCATTTCAGTCCCGGTCTGTTTTCTTAATATATTTGGTTTAAATATGTTTGTTTTAGGTTATTGATTCATGATTTATTTAATTTAGATCCATGTCTATATATTAATAAAAATTAATATTTAATATCTGGATCCTGAATTTATTTGACCTTTGTTTTAGTCCTTTAAATATTATTTTGGAAGATAAATACTTAGTTTGTACTATGGATCTTGAATTTTAACTTAAGTTCATTTTGGTCATTGTTTTGGTTACAAGTGAAATTTCATGGATTTGTTACTTGTTTATGCTTTAGCATTATCTACTTTCATTATTTAACCCTTTTTGTAATTTAGTTTCATTTTTAGTTTTCATTATTCTGATTTAAGCCATTTAGTTAATACATGTTGTTTATTTCTTTTTAGATATGTTATTAAATGTTTTAGTTTTATGTTATATGCGTAAATAGATTTGCTTAATATTCCGTAATTCCTGTATGTTTATGAATTGATTATCCCTATATAATAAATTCACATGAATTAGTCTTGTATCAACATGTTGTAGATCTCTCATGTTTGATTAAATATTTTAGTAGTTAATTCGAATACTTTCAAAAGACATCCATCATAGAATGGGTGTGAAAAGCATAAACTTTAAAGAAGTAGTGCGATTCAAGACGACATTCGAAGGATATGTGAACTTGAAATTGACTAAATTTTTATAATAATAGTTAATTTATTATTTTATTTTAATAGTAATTTATGTTTCTTAAAATGGTATGTCATGTTGTTTTATGAAATTACCAATAAGTTTCGCTCGATTTTTTATCTTTGACAACACTGAGGAGAGGATATTTCTCGTATAAAAGAGAAGTTGAGTGGATAGCCTTCCCATCGGAAGATGTGCAAATCTCATGTTCTCTTTAAAATGAGGAATTTCCTTTAACAAATAATTCGAATTTAATCAATATTCAATAAATGAATCGTAATTTAATTTTTTATATTCGAATTTATAATTTCCACCATTTGCGACAATATATAAGCGACTATGTACCAATTTTGGACGATGTGGGGGTGATAATCCTTCCCCACACGTAATCGACTCCTGAATCCTAAAAAAATGAATTTCTGGTAAATGCATACCAACTTTTATCTTTTAAATAATTTATTTGAATTTGTTTAAAATATGTTTTTAGGTATTTGACCTAATAACCTAAAGGCCGATGGTGACTCCGATTCAAACTAATTCAAAATCTCAATTATTCAAATAAAGTCATAATTAATTTTTAGAAATAAAAATGATTATGACACTAAGTAGATATGATAAATTGACAGTTAGTTTAGTTTTGATGGTCACGTGAGTTAATTATAAGTCATATAAAAATATCATGATTTCTCGAAGTGTCAAATGCAATATGTTAATACGGTTGGTCCTTCCTTCTCTTTTGATATATTTCTTGAAAATTTTGAACCAGTAGTTCATAATTGCTACATTAAAACATAGGAAGACATGTGTTATGTCATGTAATGGTTTCAACTCTCATTTTAATATATTAAATAAAAAATTTAAACTAAAGATGAACTCGTAAATATATTAGATCATTAAAACACATGGAAATTTAATCAAAAATATATACAAATTTATGTTCTAACAATAAATATTTAATTTACTCGTTAAGAAATTTTGACTAAAATGTTGAGACATGATATATTGCGATATGCGAATGATATTATTCAATTTTAAGTGAAAAAAGTTACCATGATCCATGTATTATGTTTATTTAAGTACTCATACAAATTATCTTTGATATATACAGAAAAACTTAACGTGCTGTACGATGGGATTACAACATCAAATTCAGTTCAGTTGCTATGAACCGAGTTATTTTTCTTCCTTGCATGAAACTACAAACACACAAACATTAATTATACATTTAGTAGCCCAAAACACATACACCTTGTTATCAATATGCTCCATCTTTCCATAATATGCATACCTCCATGACCTGATGAAAAACAGGGGAGCCACCACTCCCCAAAATCCCATTACAAACCCAACAACCATGCTCACATAAAACCCGTTCACTCTACTTCTTCCACTGCTTTCTCCATTCTTTGTAGCTTCAGTAGGAACACCTTTAGTGCTACAGCTTTTACTCACAAGAGGCCCACAGAGATGATTGCCCATGAAGGAAGAGTTTTCAAAGCTTTGAAGCTGAGTATCTGTTGGGATTTGTCCTGTCAGGTTGTTGTAGGACACGTTGAAGTGATTCAAGAAATTCAAATTTGAGAATCTTGAAGGGATTCCACCATGTAAATGATTCATTGACAAATCAAGTGATTCCATCAACTTGAAGTCACCAATGATGTCTGGTATATTTCCTGTTAGGAGATTCCTTGAAAGATTTAATGAAAATAGCCCAATGAGAGTTCCAACTTCTTTTGGGATCTGTCCTGTAAAACTATTAGTTGAAAGGTCAATGCTTGTAACAAGTCCAGAGTGGTACTATACAAGTCCTCTCGCCCTTTCAGCACCAATGACGCACTCATCAAAAAATTGATGCTATATGCATTTCTAACAAACATCTCCGCTTCATAATAGTATTTACTTTGTTTTTCTTTAGTGGCCATTGCACTTAAATTTCTCAAACATTTTGAAATAGCTCCTGAAATGTCATTGAGTCCAAGGTCCAAGATCTGAAGAGATTGAAGAGCGCAAATTTGATGAGGGATATGCCCACCAAAGTTATTTGACCGGAGGCTTAGTACCATAAGGTAAGAGAGCTTGTCACCAATCCATGCAGGTATTCTTCCACTGAAATGATTTTCACTGAGATCAAGAAAAACCAAACTCCTATAACTTTGCAAAGTGGAGGGTAATTCTCCAAACATGCTATTGTTCCGAAGGTTTAGCATTTCAAGACTTGCATCTCCCAAAGAAGATAGGATTATTCCTGTCAAATTGTTGTTTTCCAAATTTAAGATCCTCAAACTCCACCAAAAGTTCCAGCAATCTGGAATTTCTCCAGAGAGAAGATTTGTATCAATGTTAAGAACAGACAATGATGCCACTGATGAATTGCAAACAAATTCAGAAAGGGATCCTGAAAATAAATTTGGCAGACTATAAAATCAGCCTGAAAATCCATCATAGAATTGGTTTGACAATAGTCTTGGCAGCAGACCAGAGAATCAGTTTGAACTCAGGTCGACAATGTTTCCTACTGTCAAATATGGAATCCCTCCAGGAAGTTTGGTTCAAATCTCAACATGTTTCCGGATGTAGACAACGTTTACAACTTTTTTGAGATTAGAAAAATGAGTTTCTGATACAACTCCTTCCAACTGATTTTTCTCAATATATAAGGCTTATAAATTTGCCAATTTTCCAAAATTTGGAGGAAGAGTACCATTTAATTGATTTTTTGAAACCTCAAAGTCCTTCAAAGATGATAACTCCCCTTTTGACAGTGGAATGGGACCAGAAATGTTGTTTCGAGCAAGGTTCAGGTAAGCTAAATTTTTAAATTGCCCAAGTTTATGAGTTAAATGGCTAGAAAGTTGGTTATCTATCATACTCAATGACTCTAAGCTCTCCAAACAACATTTAGACAGACTCCGTAGGATTTCTGATATGTCTTGATTAATTCCATTATATGACAAATCCTTCTCCTTCAATTTGCAAAGATCTCCTAAAGAGGCTGGTACTTTTCCTTGAAGTTGATTGCCCGACAGATCAAGGTGATTAAGAGAGATCAAGTTTCCAATGGCATTTGAAATTTCGCCTTCTAAGTTGTTAAATCTAAAACTAAGGGAATTAAGTTTGTCACAATCGGTTTTTCGCCCGAGCACGAATGTTTCTTGGCGGAAAAGTATGTGATTAAATAAATGGTTTTTAAGGAAATGTTTTGAAGTCGCCATTGACTTTTTGGGTTAGGTAGGTCGAATACCTAAAAATCATCTTTTAAAAGAGTTTTTAAGAAAAAAAACTATTTAAATGATAAAACGGTATGCGTAAAACCAAAAATTCATTCTTGTTAGTAATAAAAAAGGATTCGTGATTAGTTACGTTTGGGGAAGGATTAACACCCCCACAACGCCCAAAATTGGTACTCATCGATTATAAGTTGTCTCTAATAATATAAATTTAAGAAATCAAACATAAATTTTATTTACGATTCTATTATTCCAGATTCAATCACATAATTTTAAGGAAAAATATAAAATATTCCAATATTTCCAATTGAAGAGAAACTAATCCCTAAATTACTTTAGGACAAATATTTCTCTCTCCAACTGAAATAATAAGAATATGATAATTTTCCCAAGAATTTTAGATTTAAAATAACTTGATTTGATTGAAATAGGCATATTTGATTTTTCAAAATATTTATTTATTTTAAATATTAGAATAGAGCATCTAGTTATTTTAAAACAACCCTTTCTTAATATTTAAAAATAAATATTATTCCTTTAATCAAATTATGAAATCAATCAAGTTATATTATGAATTTATCATATAAATGTGACTAATTAATAAAAAAATTAAAACTATAGGATTATATTTAAAAGTAATAAAACATATGGTTTAAAATAAAAATTATTTAAATTATCAGGGATTAAAATGTAAAATATCAAAACTAATGGCCCTAATTCAAAATATCATGAAATCTAGGTATTAATAGTGTAATTTAACCATAATTAATTATACAAGATTAAAATATTAATTATTAAAACCTAAGGGACTAAATCTAGTATTTACCCTAACTATATGTGAATATACGGGCAATGGTTAAAATAAAATAAAACTAAACTAAAAGATCGAATTAAAAATTACAGAAATTGATTTCAGTGACCAACTTAAAAGATTATAGAACTTATAGGGACTGTAAATGTGATTTTCTCATGAGAGAAATTACACAAACACCCCTGCTCAAAACGACGCCGTTCGGGGAGGGGTATTTAAACCCAAAAACATACCCTAAGGGCCAAATTTTTCACATTTTTCCTTTTGCCTTCTCTCTCCAAGAGAGAGAAACTCTCATTTCTCTCTAGAATTCTCTCTATGGTATAATGAAACCCTATGGTTTCTACTGGAACCATGTGGACCGTTAGATCTGATAAGATCCAACGGTTGAGATTTGTGGCAGCTAGAGACGAAAATATGGAAACCCTAATTATTTGGGCCTTCTCGAGTTTGGGCCTGGACCTGGATCGGGTTGGGTTTGTAGTTTGTTAGGCCTGGTGTTTGTTGTAGTATGGGTTCACTTTATGTTGGGTTGATCCGGGTTTGGTTTGTAGATGAGCTTTTGGGTCTTGTAATGGGACTGTAATATTTTCAATTATTATTATTTAATAATAATAATAATAGAATAATAATAATAATAATAATAATAATAAAAGGATGGAAAAAAAATTAGTGTCTATAGTTGCCCCTCTTCGCTCATTCTTGTCTTAACAAGAATAGGGAAAAGACGAAAAGACAATAAGTTTTTTGTCCATTTGACTTCTATTGATTAAGACGGAGTTGTTGAACCCTCAAGTGATGGATTCAAATCTTTGTTGAAATCCATAATTTCAAAGCTTGAAAAGTATGATAATTTTTTGTTGAAATCTTTACTAATCTTTGGAATTCTTGTTAAATATTCAATATTTAGATAAATATGTGAAATGAATGCAAAGAAATTTGTTTGAATGGAAACTATCTCAAGTGAGATAAAATTTGTTCTGAGAGATGTCGTTGAATCAAAATGTGGTGAATCAAACAACGGAAATGTTGAAAACATTTTGTCCGAAGGTCTTATGAATGGCCCGAAGAACTTATTATCTTGCTCGAAAGGCATATAGATGACCCGAAGAATTTAAGCATCATTCTCGAAAGGCTTACTAATGACCCGAAGGATTTACAAAGCAAGAAACCCTTGAAAATCAAGCTTAGTTTCTTAGTTGTCAAGGAACCCCTTAAAATTAGGCTTAGTTTCCTTTAACAACTCTTTTGAGATAATTAATAAACTTCTAAATAAGGCTTAGTTTTTAAAATCTCATTTGAAAATATCCTACCCGATGGTCTTATGGATGGCTCGAAGGTCTAATCATCTTGCTCGAAAGGCTTATAGATGACCCAAAGGATTTAAGCATCATGCTCGAAAGACTTACAGGTGACCCGAAGGATTTAATTTAATCTCGAGTGAGACAAATTGCTATTTCGAGTGAAACTTTCTCAAGCAAGACATTGTTGATTCGAAATGTCGTGAATCAAACAACAGAAATGTTGAAAACATTCAGCACTGAAAGGTCTTATGGATGGACTGAAGGTCCTATCATCTTGCTCGAAAGGCTTACAAATGACCCGAAGGATTTAAGCATCATGCTCTAAAGACTTATTGATGACTCGAAGGATTTACTTTAATCTCGAGTGAAACAAATTACTATTTTGAGTGAAACTTTCTCAAGCAATACATTGTTGATTCAAAATGTCGTGAATCAAACAATGGAAATGTTGAAAACATCCAGCACTGAAGGTCTTATGGATGGCTCGAAGGTCTTATCATCTTGCTCGAAAGGCTTACAGATGACCCGAAGGATTTAAGCATCATGCTTGAAAGACTTACTGATGACCCGAAGGATTTACAAAGCAATAAACCCTTGAAAATCAAGCTTAGTTTCTTACTTGTTAATAAACCCCTTAAAATTAGACTTAGCTTCCTTTAACAACTCTTTTGAGATAATTAAGAAACCCCTTAAAATTAGGCTTAGTTTTTAAAATCTCATTTGAAAACATCCAACACTGAAGGTATTATGGATGACCTGAAGGCTTTAGCATCTTGCTCAAAAGGCTTACAGATGACTCGAAGGATTTAAGCATCATGCTCGAACGAATTATTCATAGCCCGAAGGACTTACAAATTCAGGAAATAGTTTACTAAGTAAGAAACTTTGGAAATTGCTTTCTTACTGTTAAACAATTTCATTTTCATAAAAGATTAAATGAGAAACTTTGAAAATCATTTTCTCATTTTTCGAAATAACTTGTTGATTTGGGTAACAAGTCCCACTTCAAAGTGATGCTTCTTCTGTGGATTTTGTCCATCTATTCTTCAGATGTTTGCCTCTCCTGACATGATTTTTGTGTTTTAGGTTTGAATTCTACCTTCCATTTGTAATGTATTTTTCATCATGAATTTTCTTGTTTGATACGAAGATCTGTAAAAATCTCATGTTTGAATGCAATTAAATGTGTCAATGTAATGCATTTTGTTTTCTGCAAATGATGTTCTTATGAATGCATGAATGTTCAGTCCATCTTCATTTTACTTCAAAGTGGTGAATTTGATATTCTTCCACTTGATCATTCATTTCCAGGATTTTCTTCATATATCAGTGTAGAAAATTATACTATCAAGCTTGAATTTGTGTAGAACCATCTGATCCACTTGCATCTTTGTGTCTTTTTTTCCTCTATTTGCATTAAAGTCTCAGAAGAAAATGTTTCATTTATGGAACACTTGCCGCAATTAGAATCATGACCTTGTTGCCCCAATTTTATTTTTAATCAAACCAGCTTTCTTAGCCTCAACTTTTTCAAAAATCTAGTAAAGCTTTCATCTTTGAAAAGAGAATCTATCATCTCTGCAGAATGTAAATGTAGATATGCCAAACTCAACATAGATTAATTAGGAGAGCAGTGTCTATTCTAATTTCACTCTTGAAACGCATCACAAGGATGATTTATCCTAATTTCTTTCATGTCTCCATATCTAACTGGATCTCGAACAAAGCCATTTGAACTATATCATGTTGAGATGTTTAATAATAACCTATCGTTCAACCATAGTTGACTTCACTAGTTTCTTGTTGTTAAAATTTTAGCTCATATTCCAATGGAAAGAAATCTTCACATTTCTTGAGGTTTTGAACCTTGGGGTTGAAGAAGACCAACTTCATCTTGGGTCAACAAACGGAAATACCATATGATCGCAACATTGGTTCAACACCATAATCACTAGTTCATAAAATATTTGACAACACATTCATCATTTCCTGTGGCTTTTGCCCAGATTTCTCAATCAGTGAAGCTCTTTGCATAGTATTCAGAGCTTTTGTATGATGTCATAAGGACACTTATGAACAAAACTCAATGGGAATACAAGTGGTACGCTTTTGCTTGCCAACATCGAATCACCAGAATAATGCAATTTTTTGTCACATTAGAAATATTTTCTCAAATCAATGATTTGTCCATAAGATGATATAGGCCTTCAGCATGCCCCAACATTTGTTGATACGAACGTTCAAAATGTGTTCAACATTACTTCTTGCTGATGTGAGCTTTCAAAATGATTCAACACTTTCTTTTTGATGATGTGAGCTTTCAAAATGCCCCAACATTTACTTCTTTTTGATATGAGCTTTCAAAATGCCCCACATGGATCATTTCTATCTAATGGGCCTTCAAAATGCCCCAGATTTTCATACTAATGTGAGCTTTCAAAATGCCCCACATAGATCATTTCTAGTTGAAATGGGCTTTCAGCATGCCCTTTTAGAACAAGGTAATCCTTCTTGATGAGTTACTAATAATGTCACAACAGAGCGTTACAAGTTCAATTTCTCCAGACTTGCTGGCTTCTTGGACCACTGCTTTCAAGAATGTGAAATGCTTCATTATTTTGGCATCGCTTATTCTTTTTCTACAATAGAGGTAGAATAGGCAATAACTTGCTTCAAGGACCTTCCTCATTTTAGACTGTCCTATTTGAAAATGTTTTTCCTCCTTTCTATATCAAAAAATGAAATAATTTTGTAAAGTATTTCCCCTTACAGGTTCACAATTGAATCAAATCATAAAACTTGAGTTTAAATGAATATCAAATAAATCAACTACACTTTTAAATAAAAAAATGATAGTCCTGTGGAAAGAT